GATGTTTCTTCTCATAGCTCTCCGATCTGGGTCGGTACCTGAAATGGAAGGGTCCGCGGGTCGCGGAACTTGTGTAACGGCGTCGGTTTCCTCGGGCGGTGGCGGTAGAGTAGTCGTTGAGGCAGGTGCAGCGGTAGACGGAAGACTAGAATGTCTGGAGTACCTTACTGAGATTTTTATAGGCTACTTCCTCTAAGCCAGCCCTAAGTTACCCAAAGTAATAGTAAGTCAGTGGGTGGTCAAAGTATTGATCTGGGGCGTTCGCTTTGACACTTGCAGGTGCATGAGGTGAGTGAACGGACGGTGCAGGTGTAACGCACAGGGAAACTGCGGTAGCAGGGGAAAGCGGAGAACGTTCAGCTAAGGATGCTGAAGGAACGCATGGAGGAGCAATTAAGGAAAGAGGTGGAGGAGCTTGAGAGGAAGGTGTGGATTATTGGGAGTGAATAGGCGAGAGAGGCGGAAAAGCTAGACAGGAAGATGCCGATTGAAGGAAGACTTGTGGCAGAGATGGAGGAACTGGAGCGGATGTTGCAGTCGCGGTGTAGTACATATCCATGAGAGGCTCGTAACCCAAACATAGGGAATTGCTCTAAGGTGGGCTTGATGCCATGGGAAGTGCAGATCTGAGAGCTTGCACAGAGTTGCTGAGCAGACTATTCACTGGTACGGAAGCCAAGTAGAAACCATCCATATACCAAAGAAGCAGGCGGAAGTGCAGCAGCAATGGGTTAGGAATCAGTCGGAATGTAACCTGTGAAGAGGATTGTGTGGAAGAGTTCTGATAAGGACTATCGCAGTACCGCGCTAGAATCATCTTCAACACTAACGAGGGGTACTGTTTTCGTTCATTGTTTGTGCAGCTTTGAAAGGTTATGCCCTATGAGGTAGTTTGCCTTGCCTGTAGACGAGTCGCAAGGTTTGTGCACCTCTACCATCAAACGTTCACAGAAGACAAATAGGAAACGGGTATTTTCCTTCGATTTTTAGCAGGGCGTCATGCCGCAGGTAAGCGCCAGGCGATAGATGGCGTGACTGCTCCCACTTCACAGTTGCCTTACCGTGTATCGGTCCCAATGTCTGCTCAGCCCTAGCGCTCAGCATAGTTTAACCTATGCATCTGTCATCTTACGTTGAGCATTCACCTATCGCGAGCCAACCTGAGGAGGCTGTGCGTATTGAATTTTCCTGTTCTTCACCATTATCATGCATCTTACTGAGTTGGAGTCATTTCTATGTATGGTTTATTTCAGGAACACTATCTTGCCCGCCTTGCGCACGTCTCACCGTCGGACAATGGCGACTTGGGAGGAACGAATGGTAGCATGACTAGCTTGCTAACAATCGACAGCCTCCTCACAGCTGATGGTAGTTCCAACCCTTGGTGCTTTAAATTTCGTATTCTGAGTCAATATTCCTAGGTATATCCGTCGCGACGGAGACACCCGATGTTCGTCGCCGTAACCAGACCACAGATTTTGGGCACCATTATGCTACGTCAATCAGAACTAGCGGTGGAAAACCAAGTTCCCGGGGTAGGACACGTTTCTTCTGTTGATTTACGCAAATTGTATGCGATTTGTATGCAGTATCATAGGGCAGCTCCTCACCCCTTCAGGTTCAATGACGGTCAACACTGCCGTTCCATGGAATGTGTCTACTTTTCCAGACGATCGGCAGTTCCAAAAAACGCTGCAGTTGACCATTGGAAGTCTCACTCGTAAAAATCTCTATATTTTGGTGGAAAAGGGCCAGTCCAAGGTGTCTTCTTGTAAGATTTGACTTGAATTGAAAATTGATCACTGGAATATAATAGTATCAGTAAAACCTGGGAAACAAGACAGGTAGCGTACAGTTTATATCAATCACAGTAGAAAGCGAGAAAAGGCTGTCAGTAT